TCATTACTAGATGTGCTTCCCTCCATTCGACGTCGGGATGGCCATGTTGTACGGTTGGGTCTATTGCTGTCTCTCTGTACTTGAGGTTGGGGGGGAGGTGTGGGGGGGGGCTTTGCGATCCGTTTTTTGTGTTCGGGGCCTTCGGGGATGGCGTGTACCGATGGGAGTTGCCGTCTTTTGTATGCTGACCCTGTGTTGCGGGATACGTTTTGTTTGTTCACTACTAGATGTGCCTCGATCCATTTGACGTCGGGATGCCCATGTTGTACAGTTGGGTCTATTCCTGTTTCTCTGTACTTGAGGTTGCGGTGGTCTTTGGGACCCGTTTCTGGGTTGGTGGCTTTCACGAATGGCGTGTGCCGATCGTCCTTGGTGTTGATTTGCCCCCGTCTGTTCATCTTCGCACCTGTGTCGTTGTCCTGTCTCTTGCTCCTGCAGCCATTCCGTACCGTGTCTGGACCAAATGTATTTCTTTGGAACCCTGCCCTTATCACTGAGTCTGGTCTTTTCTGTATGAACTGCTTTTTCCAGATGGGTTTTGTTTGTTCAATACCTGGTGTCTGTTGGTGCATTCGTGGTGAAGATTATCATGATGTTTGCCTGCATCTTTTCTGTGTGAAGTGCTTTTTCCAGATGGGTTTTGTTTGTTTAATACCTGGTGTCTGACCGTGCATTCATGGTGAAGATTGTCATGATGTTTGTCTGCATTCGAGGTTCTATGTGTGCTGTGATGCCTTTTCATTTGGTGGCAAACCGAGCCGTACAACATAGCCACCCGCTCCAAATGAAAAGATAGTAAAGCGATCACAATGTACTTCTTTGGAACCCGCCCAACAGCATTCCGATCACAGTGTACTTCTTTGGAACGTGCCCAAATTCTCTCCTGGCGGTCCAAAGACAGCAAAAGCGATCACAATGTACTTCTTTCACGGTCCAGATGTACTTCTCTGCAAAGCGATTACAATGTACTTCTTTGGAACCCGGCCAAATTCTCTCCTGGCGGTCCAAATGTACTTCTTTGGAACCGTTCCCTTATTCTGACTTCCGGTGCTTTGTGTGTCAAATGTGTGCTACGAGTGACGTTTCGTTTGTGCATTGCTGTGTGTCTGTCGCTTCTATTGCTGTCTATCTGTACTTGAGGTTGCGGCGGTCTTTGGGACCCGTTTTTGGGTTGGTGCCCTTCACGAATGGCGTGTGCCGATCGTCCTTGGTGTTGATTTGCCCCCGTCTATTCATTACTAGATGTGCCTCGCTCCATCCGACATCGGGATGGCCATGTTGTACGGTTGGGTCTATTGCTTTCTCTCTGTACTTGAGCTTGCGGAGGTCTTTGGGACCCGTTTTTGGGTTGGTGGCCTTCACGAATGGCGTGTGCCGATCGTCCTTGGTGTTGATTTGCCCCCGTCTGTTCATTACTAGATCTGCCTCGCTCCGTTCGACGTCGGGATGGCCATGTTGTACGGTTGGGTCTATTGCTGTCTCTCTGTACTTGAGGTTACGGCGGTCTTTGGGACCGGTTTTTGGATTGGTGGCTTTCACGAATGGCGTGTGCCGATCGTCCTTGGTGTTGATTTGCGCCCGTCTGCTCATCTTGGCACCCGTGTCGTTGTCCTGTGTGCACCAAATGTATTTCTTTGGAACCCTGCCCTTATCACTGAGTCTGGTCTTTTCTGTATGAACTGCTTTTTCCAAATGGGTTTTGTTTGTGCAATACCTGGTGTCTGCGGTCCATTCTTGGTGAAGATTATCATGATGTTTGCCTGCATCTCTTTTGTGGGAAGTGCTTTTTCCAGATGGGTTTTGTTTGTTTAATACCTGGTGTCTGTCGGTGCATTCGTGGTGAAGATTGTCATGATGTTTGTCTGGATTTGAGGTTCTCTGTGTGCTGTGATGCCGTTTCATTTGGTGGCAAACCGAGCCGTACAACATAGCCACCCGCTCCAAATGAAAAGACAGCAAAACGATCACAATGTACTTCTTTGGAACCCGCCCAACAACGTTGCGATCACAGTGTACTTCTGTGGAACGCGCCCAAATTCTCTCCTGGCGGTCCAAAGACAGCAAAGCGATCACAATGTACCTCTTTGGCGGTCCAGATGTACTTCTCTACAAAGCGATCACAATGTACTTCTTTGGAACCCGCCCAAATTCTCTCCTGGCGGTCCAAATGTACTTCTTTGGAACCGTTCGCTTATTCTGACTTTCGGTGCTTTGTGTGTCAAACGTGTGCTACAAGTGACGTTTTGTTTGTGCATTCCTGTGTGTCTGTCGCTTCTATTGCTGTCTGTCTGTACTTGAGGTTGCGGCGGTCTTTTGGACCCGTTTTTGGGTTAGTGCCCTTCACGAATGGCGTGTGTCGATCGTGCTTGGTGTTGATTTGCCCCCGTCTGTTCATTCCTAGATGTGCCTCGCTCCATTCGACGTCGGGATGGCCATGCACGGTTGGGTCTATTGCTGTCTCTCTGTACTTGAGGTTGCGGCGGTCTTTGGGACCCGTTTTTGGGTTGGTGGCCTTCAGGAATGGTCTGTGTCGATCGTCCTTGGTGTTGATTTGCCCCCATCTGTTCATCTTGGCACCTGTGTCGTTGTCCTGTCTCCTGCTCCTGCAGCCATTCCGTACCATGTGTGGTCCAAATGTACTTCTCTGGAACCGTTCCCTTATTCTGACTTCCGGTGCTTTGTGTCTCGAACGTGTGCTGCGAGTGACGTTTTGTTTCTGGATTCCTCTGTTGCTGTCGCTGGATTCGTGGTCACAAGTCTGGTCGATATATATATGCTTTACTCCTGTGGCATCTCTGGTGGTTGTCGTTCTTGACGAGTTGTTATACGTGTATCGTCCGGTTCTGTGGTCTGTACATCCCCCCCGTTGTTGTCTGATTGAGGATTGTTCCTTTTTTCGTGTTGTGTCGCCGTAGGTTCAACATTTTTACCATGGATAATGGCGGAGCTTTGGTGCGTTCGTTCCCGGTTGGGAGGATCTTGAATCCAGCGTATATATCTGATGGGATTCCTCCTCCTGGGCCGGGCAGCAGTGCCACGTCGCCTTCCAGCCTGTTCGATGACGACTCCTCTTTCCCTGCCTCTCAGCGCGACTTACTGCAGGCGTTGAGAGGCATGCGAGTTGAGAACAAAGCTCTGAAGAAAGAGATCCGTCGGCAACAGTCCATCCATGAGGCTGCTATGAATGCGCTGAGGGCGTTGTTGATTGTCCGGGAGAACATTCGGGTTGACCGTGTAAACACTACCGATGGGCATGTCCGTGTTCCACTCGACGGGAATGTCGATGTGCAGCGCTTAGATGAGGAGTTCGTTGGGATTCAGCATGCAGCGGCTGCCATTGCTGAGCACGAAAAGGATATTCTTCGCTCCGAGATATCCTGGTTAGGGAGGAGGATAAATGTTCACAGTCAGGTTGATGCTGCSCAGTGGAGATGCAGGGCCTTAGTTGCAGAGTATGAAGTCAAGAGCTTCGTAGCGAATACTGATGTCACTGGTGACCTCGTTGCCATTGCGGCATCTCTGTTTTATGTTGTCTCCCCGCATCTGCTTCATGAAATGTCCCGCGGTATATGCGCGGCTTTGGTTCTGAACCTTTAGTGGGTTGGGCGCGAGCTTCTTAGGCGTGTTCAGCATGCGCAGAGCAGGGCAGCGCTGCAGTTTGCTGTGGCAAACAACGAGCTCCTTCACTTAGTTAGGACACTGAATCTGAGCCTGCAGATGAAAGTCGCTAAGCTTGCGCAGGTACGTGATAGGGGCCTCCTGACACTGCCTGGGAATAGGCATGCAGATTTCGAACTGGATTTGAGGAGATCCCAGACTCGTGAACTGTTAATGCCCCATGAATTGTTTTGTGGGATTCTACACAATCGTGCACCTGTTGCAGAGAGAGAAACGGTTGCTGCCTTGCATGACCAAATTCGATCGTTGTCTATGCGCAATGCTGAACTTGAAATCGGAATGGCAGAGCTCACTGTTGCGTTGGCTTCGCGCATTGACAGACTTCGTGTACGAGTGTCGAAGCCATTGCCCTACTGTCCCCCTGACATCGCCATCGATCATGTCAGGGTTCACGGACGGCTCATGAGCATGTGTATGAAGGATAGGCCGAGGGTGGTACGGAGTGCCAGCGAAGTCGAGGTGTTGCTTAGTGCCGAGGCTAATCGCATGGATATGCTAGGCTTGGATCCTGAGTCTCCGGCTTCAGTTCCTCCACCTTCTGAGAGCCGTTTTGAGCCTCCCTCGAGCGATGAGCTCGAGGACGAGATCATGGATCGACTTCATTTCCGCACTGCACGTTGGAGAGTTCTTACTGGCTGACTATCGGGGCCGTTTGTCCAGGGTCCAGGCATGCCCAGTCCATGTCCTTCACTTTGGTCTCTGCTGGTTTCTCTGGCTTGTGTTGGTTGCCGCCACGATTGTTGCCTTTGCTGTGCCTTACTGCCATTTGTCCTTCTTTAACTCTTTCCTCAGTGAACCGGTCGATCGACTCTGTTTTTGGGGGGTTGGGGGGCAGGGCGGTGGGGGGGGCTGACTGGGGATGATGGACAAGAATGTTTTGTTTTCTCCTGCCTGTTTGGGCTGCGCATCTGCTCGGTGGATCTGTACTGTAGCGCTGCTTTGCCTTTCCTGCTTTTTTGTTTACCAATTCGTGGGTCTGTATGTCAAGCGTGTCGTTTGAGATCCACTGTCTTAATGTCTTTCTTGGTSTGTYCGCTGATCGCAGGGGTCGSTCCCAACAATGGAAGGACCTGTTCCTCAGCCTGTTCATGGTAGCGCTTTCCGTGCGTGGCCGTATCGGGATGTGAACTATGATGTTCACTTCTACCCGCTACAGAGCAAAAGCCCGTCTGATTTCCAAATGCGGCAGGTTTCCGGCCACGAGTATAGGGATGCAGATGGGCTTAGGTGGTCCTTTGATGAGCTGCTGCATCTCCTGTACGTCAAGCAGCAGGAGATTGATTCCCTGCAGCGGGCGCTTGCTGATCAGCAGCGAGTCCACGATGAACAATTGGTTTTTTTGCTGCAGAAGGTTAGAATGTCACGAAAGGAGGTGGTTTAGATCTTGGATGACAACCACTCCGGAAAGAAGGTGAGTACAACATCGACAGGACTTTCCTGGTTTGCACCCAAGAAGAAGTCCTCCCTAGTGAGTGCTGACGAGGATGTAGGGAGGAGTATGGCTTCGCTCAAGCAGCAAGAGATTGACCACCTCCGGGATAAAATAGTCTATCTCACCGTCCACTCTGATTTTGCTGGTTGGGAATTCCTCAAACTCTCTTCTGGCGGCCGTCAGCAGACCGTAGAGCACCTCAATTGTACACAAAGCTTGAGGCTCAGTGACAGCGAATTTCAGTGCTGCTTGCACCTCAGCCTCAACCAAGCGATAAAGTAAGGTCTCACCGACCCACTGCCACTGGCGAATTGTCGACTCCAAATCACAACGGTCAAACGCCTGCAGCATGAACAATGGCTGTACAATCCGTCCAAGATCACCCCTCATATTGGAGATCAACAACAGTCCTCGAAYC